AGGGGGCTCTTTTCACATTTGCCAGTTTACGCCGTCTCTGGCATAAACGAGATATCCGACTTTCGACGAAAGTGCGGGTGTACTGCTCATCAGTCCGCTCCGTCCTCCTTTATGGTCAGCTGTGAGACCTGGCCACTGAGAGTGGAAGACATGAAAAAGCTAGCCAACTGTCTTTGATCATAGGTGCCTGCTTTCTATCCCCTGTGTGAAGTGGTATAATAAGCTGAGCAATATTGAGGTTAGGCGTCGAGTGTTAAATAGACAGGGGAAATCAATCGATGAGGCTGTGAAGCAGTTACATCGACTGAGATGGTTAGGATATGTGTTACGGATACCTAGTCATCGCCTTCCTCGACGAGCAATGTTAGCGGATATAGTGTCAGGCTGGAAAAATGGTGGCAGAGGTCAAACAAAAACATGGCACTAGTCAATGAAATCTACAACAGTTAGTTTAAGCCGCGTAGGAAGGTGTAGACTTCCTGACTGGTTGGGGTCTTCGGGACGGTAAAAACCAATGAAAGCTGGAGACAATTGGTGATATAGCTCAAAGTGATCGTTCTCGATGCCTGGCTGGCTCAGATGCATCCACTCCTTATGACTTATGATTTCCAATGAAACTGTTTTGTTCTTCGTTAATACTCTTCCAATGTCTCACACTTCTGTTTACTGTCTCTATTATGCCTTTCTTGTACTTTCTTCTCTTGCTTTGTGTGCTACAAGGAGGGAGTGGGGTGACTTGATCTGGTGCACATTTATGCAAAGTTCTATGTCGAAAATAGACAGACTTATAGCACTTTCCTACTACACGCAAAAATCCAAATCCACGGTTAAACAAGTCACAGGTGACCAAACTTATACAGATATTCTACGACCTTTCGAATGCAAAACGAGGTGGGGATTAACTTCCACAATGTGAGCAATAAAAATCACTGTCAACCAACAACGGTGGACATCACTGTGTGAACATTTAATTTCTACATGGACACCAATTATCTTTCTCATCTATTTTAAGACTTTAATTTTCCTCCGTTCGCTCAAAGATGTGCATTACCACGATCCTCTTGATCGAGAGATCAAGAGCTCTTCAAATCACAGATTACGGCATCTAACATGAAACTGGCTAACAAGCCACCCTTAGGAAAGCCTTAGTATTTTACACTACAGATGTCAGGTAACTGTAACTAATCATACCTCCCCTCAACATAAAGATAATGAGAATGCATATTTTCATATTTTGAATGTCCTGAAATACAACAGTCAATGACTCTAAGGCCTTGCCATCATCCATATAAGGCTGGCTCAAGTTCATAGTGAGTAAACCTCAGTGTTCGCCTCTAAATGCTCTCTCATGATGACTACGTATACATAACTTCTGTTAGGTAATTCCTACCAAACTGTCACTAAACAATGTGAACTGTTCTTACAATAGTGAACTAGGGGGAAACACTCTGTACAGATCTCTGAACTTGTGGATATGAAAGCTTCACTTGAGAATGTTAGCAGACGCTGAATGTAGACTAATCATGTGAGTAGTTTTCAGTATCTGAAACGAACAAACAACGTACGACCCTGTCCTCTAATCACTGACGAGAAAATAAATCAAAACTTACAACAACAAGTAAACAAACTCATTTTTTGAGTTTTGCACCTTTGAAATATAAATGTAACCTTGTAAATTGTCTGGTTCATAGAACTAGGTAAATCTGTTCAGACGACTATCTCAATGAGGAGCTTAAGATTATTAGAGAATTACTTAGAAAAAATAGTTATCCAGATAAATTCATTGAGAAAAATATGAATTCAGTACCAAGGAAAGTCAGTATGGCCACAGTTCCGAAAAAACCAATGTTCATAAAAACTGCATTTCCTCGGTGACAGCATCAACGAAATAATAACACAGCGAGCACTTGAAGAATGCAGTTAAAAGAGCTTATTATGCAGCAGAGGTACGTTGTCTCTTCACAACCACCTTTATTCTATGTTCGAGAAATAAGGATAAACTACCTAAATGCGCCTCTTCTATGTGTATCTATCAGTTTGACTGCAGCTGCGGAGCCGGCTACATCGGAGGGCGTACAATTAAGCAGGCTCATTATCGTATTTCCGAACATAATCTAACATGGTTAAGCAAAGGAGAAATAAGATCTATTCGTGGCGGCTCTATTGTAGCACACCTTGTAGATAGTGAGCATAAGGTTGACGTTATTACTGCATTTAAAATTATTTATCGCATTCCTACTAATCTTAATTTTACTCTACGAGTTTGTCTTCTACATACGACAGCTGAAGTAATAGGAATCCACCTGACGAAGAAGAAGCCAAACCTGTGTGCGTTCAGAAGAAATTGGTACAGCCACTTTCCTTACCTTGGCTATCGTTACATGAATGTATAAACCGGACTACTTTGCCCCACTTCCCCTAAACCTTTAAAATTATAAAAATTATGATTGTCCAAATTATTTCAGTTTTATTTATTTTGACCACTTCATCTTCAATTGCATGTTATCCTTGTAAAATTAATTTATTCTAACCATTTCTATCTTATAAAGGTGTATTGATTTTCTTCATTAATTATCAACCAATTGACATTTTGACACTGACTAATTATTGTTAACAAACAAACATATCAGTTCCACTTGATTGGTAAACTGTTGTGTATTGTAATAAAAATGCTATACGTGTATATTAGAGTAGAGCTAAAGATGAGGATCTAATTGAAAAGTAAGTTTTTCTTCTCTCAATCCTTCTGTTTTCTAAAACTCCATACGTTGCTCTATTGTCTTGTCAACTAAGCTTTATCACGAATTATCTTGTAGCCCCTTCCGTGCATTTCCCACTACCTGTATATTGAGAATAAAACTCATCTCTGTCCACTTCCTACTTACTATCTATGACAACAATTAATTCATCAATCATATATTTGGTCGTCTGATTCGTCATTTTATTGTGACGAGCCAACATGTCTTGTTCTTGGAAGTGAATTTTCAGCATTGTTACTATCATCAGACTTTCTTTATTCTTTGAAACTCAGTCTAACTGTGCCTTCTTGACCAGTCTCCTCTACAAAGTTGGGCTCTAGTTCGCGACATGTGGATAGGAGGTTTAGCCAGAAATTCGGGCGTGGACGCCGATAAATATCAAATTATACGTTCATTGCAAGATAGTAAAAATAAATGAATTCACTGTACATCATGGTGGTTGTTAATTGAGATTGAATAAGGACATGACCTGGTTCAGTGCTCAGTACGGACGACACAACTTCCCTTCTCCAGCTTCTTACCTTCCACTATTGCTAATCATCATCTCTGTCTCGTATCTGATCCGTACATTCACATTCGGATCGTCCGTTTGCTTCAATCTCCTTTTCTCTCATCAAGTACCCTCGCCTGGGCGAACGGGTGGGCGGTCTGTTGGCATACTATGGCATACATGGAGTGAGCAACTGTGTACCATAAAAGGACTTATTTGATTAATTTAAATGCAGAAAAAACTTGGAACACTATGGCACCAAGAAATAACATTGGCACCACACAATACAATAATAAAACAACATAGATCAGAAGTAAAAAAAAAGTATAAGCAGAGAACGGATAAAGAACTTCATCTGGAAGGAAAAAATACATACTTAACAAGTTCGACAGTATTCGTTAACTATCATCGGGAAGGGAAGAAAGAATGAAGTTGCAGCACGTTCGCCATTGATTACGATTCTTGGCCATATCCGATAACGTTTCGAGTCATCGATTCGAGCTACCTCGCGGACCCCAACCAAGGAGTCGTGACGCACCAACCGATGACGCTAATCTAGCACAAACATCCTTCGTCCCACGACGCCACATCCTCATGGACTGACCACCCCTCAGCCTTTTTCCATCCCGTCCCAGGGCTGGCTAGCGAACAGAAACCTGTACGGAAGCCTCTGGGATGACATTCTCAGCCCATGTCCAAGCCACCGGAGCCGGTTTTTGCAGATGACGACGACACTCAATGTATGGTGATCTCCCCTGTGTTCAAATGCACACACACACAGCCAAACCTCGGAATTACTCACGCGATGATGCCATCTGTCGAACGCAAGCAATCCTGTAGAGACAGTGATGATCAAACACGCAGATGATGACTACTTACATATTTCTATTGGTACTAATGTCTATCGACGAGAGATCTTCAAATAAACTTACTTCAATTTATGTAAAAATGTTTTGACTATATACTTTGATGATTAAAAAAATCCGAATAAATCTGTTGAAGCTGGCTGTGCCAGCTAACACAGCGAAACGTCCAGAAAACAGATCTTGTTTTGATTTTCTTAACACTGGGGTTAATTTAAATAATTTATAGTGAATCAATCTGAATCGGCGCTCAAATTATTCCAGGAAGTACGTGACACCTAGGGCCTGGAAAATTATTATACCATATTTTTTTCGGGTAAAGTGAACTTGTCCGCCTGATTTCCTTTTAGAATATTCCTAATATGTGCAGGTGTGTTTCAGTTACATAACATGTTTATATATTTTTTAAATTTCAAATATGAGGGCTCATATTTGAAAATTAATTCATCTGATGCTCACTAGTGACTGGCCCCCTTATTCAGGTAGGCAGTTAACTCGGGGGCGGTTCTAGTAGGAAGCCGTGACCAGTAGGGCGGTACATCACATTGAAGATGAGGCAGTAACTCACTCATCAAAGAAGAAGAAGAAGACATTGCGAAATGTTTACTCTGTGTCATGCGTGAATTGACAGAAGTTAGAATTCAAAATCCATTGGTCTACGAACTCGCTGACCTTTTTACCAGAAGTTCTTGGTTTTGAACCCCAGTGGGGTGGGTGCGTATTGCTGAAGAGTCAGTCCCAAACTAGGCTGACGAAACAGCTGTCTGGCAGTACTCCCAGTGGTTCTCTAACTGATCTCATCTCATAATGAAGTCCTCCATACAATAAATGATTAGTTAATAAAAAAAAATTGAAGGAAAAAGTGTTTTCTCTTTTCTTAAATAACACTTGGTTTTATTGACCAGCTACACATATATATATTTTTTGCATACATTAATAAATTTGTTGGTTTCTCATTGGTGGTGGTTGTGGAAGGTGGCAAGGGAGGGCGGGTTACTCTGTTTTCATAAGAAGTTAACAGTTTTCCGTACACATCTTAAATTCTAAAATTGTTTTTTTTTGTAGGATATAATGAGGGTGTTCAGGAAAATATCGTATTTTCAAATAGAGCTATTAGCACTAAGGAGATTGTACTTCCTAAAAGTATTGTATTGATTTTATTCTTTCCAGTTGAATTGCACAAATTTTTATCACTGCAACATTCAGTTTTATCATCACCTTTCTGATCTTTTAAATCGCCGCATCCCTGCTTATCACTACATTCGTATCGTTGAACTTTGCCACTTTTTATATATTTCTGTGGGGGAAGTAAAATTAGAGGGCGATAAATAAACAGGTATGATAATATTGAACATATTCAAACTCAATAAACATTATATATATATATATATATATATATATATATGTAACAACAGAAGAGAAGGGCCAGGCAACAGATCATTTTATTACGGAAATCAACACGTATTTATATAAATTTCACATACATTATTATAGCCTAGTCAAGTAGACAAACGCAGTCTTCTGATTGGTTGTTTTCGAGTTCCTCGGACGGAAAGTGGAGTGGAGCCATCTATCTGCGAATCATATTTGCCCACGTTTAAGTTTTCTGTGATTGGTTGTTGAAACAGCCTTGTTCATATTTTCTCACGGCCCATATTAGTGACCTAGACATTGACGTAGATTACTGTCAACCAATTGGCTAGTAGCCTGCTCTCACCACATATATATATATATATATATGTTGTACAGACCGTAGACAAATATTTTTCCCATTTTATTGATTATCTTTTGATGAAGTGAAATGTAAAAATTGCAATCACTTTTTTTCTGATTACCAATATAAAATGCTTTTTTCATATAAGTAGAGAACTTAGGCAGGTACTGTGCTACCACCATTCAGGAAGCAACGAAGAAGTCACCCTTTCAACTGATGTGTGCTAGAAAACCACGATTACCGCGATACACAACGAGACCTGGTCCCTTCACCAAAAGTGGAGTACGACGAAATTAAAAGCAGAGTGGAAAGAAGCAGTCAAGAATTTAATGCAGAAGCAGGGAGTGATGTAGCGTAGTCCCAACTGAAAGGAAGGACTCATTGCATTACCTTTTGCTGTCGGGGACCAAGTGAAGTGTGGAGACAGAAAATGTACAGTTTGATGCGGGCCATGTTCACGGAAACTCCTTCCAAAGTGGGAAGGACCGTACACAATCACTAAAAGACGGGGCAATTATATACCATCCGAAGTGGTGATACACAGAAACGAGTTAACGCCAGCCAGCTCCAACGATGGGTACAGTGGGACAAGCCAGTCAGTAACAATCCTCAACTAGAGGATGTAGTACCCAGAAGGTCGGAACGCCTGCACGATAAGCTATTTCACGGGGGGAACGAGTGTACTGGAAGCAGGCTAGCCAAAAATAGTAGACAGCATTTTACGTCAACGGGTATTGCGCAAATACTGGTGGTGAGAAAATATGAACAAGACTGATTCAACAACCAATCACAGCAGACTTGGTGTAAACAGATACACTTAATATATAGATTACCTGACATTCAAGAAACAGTCACAAAGAGATGCAAGGTCAACTTTCTCTGAGAAACAATCAATCAGAATACTGTGTTTTTCTGCTAACAATAATCTAGAATAATGTACATGAAATATATATAAATACGTGTTGATTTCCCTAATAAACGACCTGTTGCCTAACTCTTGTCTTCTGTTGTTACAGTAGTTTTGTTAATTATAATTATCAGTTGAAATCATATAAAATTTACAGTGTGAATATACAAGTGATTAACATACTAATGTATTTACAATCAATCAAACCACTGAATTACAAACAGACATAATCAAGAAATGTTTTCTGCCTCAACAAATTCTTCGCTCAATCTTTCTGTTTTCTCAATGTCTAAATAGGGATTTTTTCTATATCAATAAAAAATGTTAAAAGATAAACTGGACATGATATAAGTAGAAAACTTAGGCAGGCACTGTGTTGTGTGTGGTAGAGTCTAACTACTCCATTATTATGGATTAGATTTTATTTTGATAAAGTGTCACACAGTGTGCTGCGTTATACAGTAATATTAACTGATGCGACCACACGCCAATTCGAGCACAATTTACTATTATTCCCACTCATAATCATATCAAGTCACTCACTCACACAACTTTTTCATTCATTTAAATACAGGTGTGTTAGGACTTGACTAGATATTGGAATAAAAATCAATGTGTCCTAATGTACATTCAGAAATAATAATAATAATATGAGTGTTTCAGGATTTCATCATAAGCTGAAATTGGTTAGAAAACCATTGGAAAAGCACATGGGAGTACTGGACAGCTGGTTCTCTAACCAACGTTAGCCCATAATGAAATCCTGTAACCAATCAAACAAATCCCTTCAAACAAATACTTGAATATGAGTGTTATGAGTGATCAATTACAATAATCAGATGGGAAATAAGACGAGTGTTTGTTTTATAGTCAAAATACGTGAGTAACTTGTTAGAATGTTGTGATGATGTAGGTGAATTGAATTGAAATAGAATACAATTTAAGATTATTTATTATCCTCCTCTGATTTCACTGACTGACTGACTGACTGTATGACTGACTGGTGGTAATAATATCTTCCACGCATATCTCTGGTATCTGCATTGAGTCATTTCTGTTACATGTGTTGTGTTGTGTTGTGTAAACTCGATGAACCAGTCAGGATTCAGTAATCAATTTCTCTCACTCCTCACCTACCTAGATTACTTTTTCGAATTGTGACCCTCTCCCACCATCCTATTGTGTGGTTGTGTGTTAATGCATGCATGCAGTGGAATGTAGTGGTGAGTTGGTATTTCTAAATTACTCATCTTCTCGGGTGGGGTTGTAGCGGTAAATAATTCCCCAAAATTATTGACCACAGCAATCACTCATTGGATGCCGACTACCACTGTTTAAGTCGACTTGTTTAGCTGAAGGCTTCCGGTCAAGCATCCCCGCCATTTGGTACCCCGTCGTGTCACGTGCACGATCACTAGCTAGTTAAGCGTTCGTCTAACGGCTTGTTTTGGTTCCGAAATATATTACGAAGTTTGGACGATCAATTATTGGCTTTTGCTTTGCCTTTTGTACGCGAGAATAAATTAATTAGAAGTTGCCCAACGAGATATCCGTCAACCTTTAAAGGGTCAACCATTCTTACCCTAGCTAAATTCTTATCTTCCGACAATCTGCTTACCCCCGATCTACTAGTCTGTTTTACCTATGTAGGCAGTTGACCTCACTCACAGTGATTGCAGTGTATTTTGTAAATTATATTACTTTGTCTAATTGGGTCCACCGACAAGGTCTTTTAGCCTAAAGAGCTTGTCCTACCTGAGTGAGTTGGTAGGTTTGAATGCCACCAACCTTATTCTTGCTTTATTAAGAATCATACGTAAGGAGTGTCTCAGATGTTCCCTCCTTATATGGTATAATAGTGGGTGACTTATATTCTCTCTTATTTATTTTATTCAAATACCTAGTCAATCTCATTCATGTATATAAATGAAGGAAAAAAGTTGTGTGAGTGATTTGATATAATTATGAGTGGCAATAATAAATTGTTCTCGAAATGTGATCATCAGTTAATATTGCTGTGTAACACAACTGTGTGACAGTTTATCAAAATAAAATCTTATCCATAATGAAGTTAAAATGCTTTAAACCTACCATATTCTTTTTGAGGACAGATTAAGCCCAAGTGGTCCAGTGGATAACTCTTTGACTGGTGTTTGAAACTATGGGCACTGGGTTTAAGCCTCGTTGGTGGTGGGAACATCATCACTCACTGCCTGGGGAATGTAGGCACATCCAGCTAACTGACGAGTCAATCCCAAATTGGACAGACGAAATGCGCGTTATCCTGGACTGGATTCCACTGCTAGTCACCATCTACCAACTAAATACTATAATGAACTAGTTTGCAGTGTGTATGTAGTTAAATAACTCAAGATTCAAAGTTGAATAATAAACAAGTCAGTCTGCAGTAGATCTGCTAAGAGTTCACCAGATTCCCTGACATGCATTCAGATCATGCATACGTTTCTTACTACTTTCCTATGAAAAGAAATTGATCTATCGCTTGATTTTGTCTCACCTTCCATTAACTGATGGATGCCTTCAGATGTCCTCCTGTGGTGAGAGCAGGCCGTGAGAAAATATGTACAAGGCTGATTCAACAACCAATCACAGCAGACTTAACGTGGCAAAATATGATTCGCAGATAGAGAACTCTATTTTTCGAGGAATCCCGAAACAACCAATCAGAGACCTGCGTTTGTCTGCTTAACTTCTGATAAACAACCAATCAGAAGACTGCGTTTGTCTACTTTTATAAGCTATAATAATGTATGTGAAATATATATAAATACGTGTTGATTTTCATAATAAAACGATCTGTTGTCTGGCCCTTGTCTTTTGTTGTTACACTTCTAGCAATCAATAAAAAAATGGAAATAGTATCAAATTTTTCACTCAGCTCTAGAAAGACCTAAAATTCCACTTCTCACCAGAAGAACAGCTTCTAATTTATATTCACCGATACACAGCATCCACAATAATACGCATCTACTTCGAACTAACTCATAGTTTGTAACAGATATTCAGCAAAAACAAAATAAAATGAGACATAATAGTCAACTTAAGGATAAAAAAAACGAAAACATATAGAGAGTAGTTCGAGATTTGTGGATCAGGTAATAGCCATTCCAATCAGTAGCCATATCAACCAGCAAAGAAGAGAGCGAAAAATTCAATAGAAAAAAAACCAGTCATAATCATATGACAAAACGCAAAAAATAATACGCATTATAAAAGGAAACGCTAAAAACATCCTAAACAAAAATAATTATATATAATAATCATGTGAAAAAAAATATATTAAAAAATAAACATTTGACAAACTCTGCATGATCCACAGTTTTCCTTCGTTTGATTATCAGAAGGCTTCTCACAACTATCACAATTATAACATTTCAAACCTAAAATCAAGAAACAACGTAGATTAAAACGCACGAAACAACATCGAAAAAAAACACCAAAATGTCATCAGGCAAGAGATGAAAAAATTGCAGTGTCAGAATTACACACTTGCACTAAAGAGTGCACCTGTTCCCAATGATTAAGTAAAATTGATTTCACAAGCTTTCCTGATTGTCATCTACAGAATCAAGCACACCACATACTGAGTGAGATGTGAACACTTTCAGTTTTTCCGAAAAGAGCTGTGGTGTTTTTTCACCTCGAAATGAGTAATTTGCAAACGACCAATCTGAATCTACGTATTCCCAATTCGTCGAAGTATCTGGACAGAAGTCAGATCGTTTGAACTAATTCATCTCCGTGAGCTGAGTCGAACTGCCTACGCTACTGAGGAGCTAGGCCGTGAACGAGCGAAACCATCTTCCGATTACTTCGATTGAACACTGGTAACTAGTGTGATGTGTCTAGTCCAACCATCTAGTGCCATCCGATAAATGTACACCGTGACGGCGAGCTACCTAGTGGCATGGTGGCCACATTGCAAATCTGATTGACTGACTGATAGAATGGAGTGTGCACCGAAGAAAGGACTAGACACATCACACTAGTTACTGACTAGTGTCCAATAAAAGTATGCACTACAGTCCGACACAAGGTCAATCAAGCCCGAATAGGTGCCTCAGTGGTAACGTGTCTGACTGCAGTATTCACTGGGTGACGCGGGTTCGAATCTCGGATGGGTGGAGATGAGCTGTTCCTTCAATGTGGTTGCGCATACGCCTTGTTGACAAGGGTCAACTACCACGAAACCTAAGTCTACTCAAGGCTTCCTCTATCGGCGATTGCCTCCAGCCATTTTACATAAGATTCAGCCGTTTAGATAACACTAGTTTTGCCAGAAAGCAGTAGGGTTCGACGTCAGTGTTAACTAGATACTCATACCAATCAGTAGTTCAGATCATCACGCTACTCCGCTTTCAACATATCCTCTAAACCCATTTGATCATCTCTTCTTATCGTTGATGAAGTCGGAAACTACTTCTTCAGGTATTTCAGATCACCGAGTTCTCTCAGTGTATACATTGATGTGATGCAGCATTCCATCAGAACAACACATTTGAAAGACTACCACTCATCCCATTTATCCTCATCCATGTATCTGATGCGCTAGTAATTATTTGAAGGCCTGTATTATTATCAGATTGGTCAGTTTTATTCAATCGTTGCCCTCAAATTCTGGCTACTAAACTGATTGATATCTTACATGTAACCAAAATATTTCGCAAAGATTTTAAGCCATTGAAAGCAACACTTACTCGTCGTGTTTCCGTCTTTGTTCTCTATGAGTGTAAAAATGAAATAGGAGAAAAAACAAAATCATTAAAACATGAGCTGGCTGAACACTCATTGAAGATAATTGAAAACAGTCATCAATAGCGGTTGAAGAACAGAAGATTGGCAGAAAGCAGGGATACTCATGAGACCGTCAGTGTAAATGATCCGCGTGTAGTCCACCTATCGACAGACGTTAATGCTCAACTAGAGCTAATCCTAAAAAGTAGTTGTAGTGGTAATCCTGTGGTTAGACAACTTTCTGAAGGTCGATCAACAACAGCTTCTGATGCACCACTAAGCTCACTAACTGGTATCAGTCAGTCTTCGTTTGTGTTGTCATCCACAGTGAAAGCGCCGTCCATTAACCCATGTGTCTTATGCTATGATTATGCTCGTATCAGTGTGTTTGAAAGGACGAAAGTCAATGACCAGTTTAGTGATGATAAGCCAATCGTGTATGAGAGTGTAATTGTTAAATTGAGTTGCACGAATAAAAGCCTTTCAGGTTTAAAGTTACTGTTTGAATGTTATTATCGTTGGTGTAAATTGCTGTGTGCCTACACTTGGTTGGTCACATACGTTGTATATTTGTAAGTCATCTATATTTCACGATGCAATGTCACGGGCGTGTCACCATTCAGAGTTGAGGATATATATGATAGAAGGAGGTTGGCAAATGAACTCTACTACGATTGTCCAACTTAGGACGTCAACCTGAGAAGTGTTGTAGGCGCACTGCTGTAAGTCATACGATTCTTCAAGGGTAGCTCGTCAAGACAGAATCCACAACATTTGATGTAGTGAGTGTACATATATATGTGTTAAGAACTAGTGTGGGTTCCAATTCATCTAACTGTTGGTTAGTTTTATAGTTGCTGTATTGTGTGAATGATCTTGTAATGTTATTGTAAGTACTTCTGAAGTGTTTTCCAGTCTTCTACAATTGTCAACGAATCTAGTGGTGTTAGAATCAGTGTAGGCGATTTGATACGCCGGGGATGGGATTGTGCCGGAATGACATGAAGCAAACAACACCCTGAGGACCAGATCAGTGGTGCTACTGTCGATAGAGAGAGAAGGAAAGTTCCGATTAACTGAGGGAGACCCTACAGACCGGTGAGGCGTACTGGCGTGATACTGTATGCTTGTTGTGCGTTGGGCTTTTGTGTCTTGCTTTCCATTTTAGCCTAGTCCCGGTAGGACCAGGTTACCAGGTTGGCATTTCATTTCAAGGTTATCGTCATGATGGAAAAAGGGATGGACACAGTTTTGTCGGGAAGTGCAAATCAATGTGAACATTGAACGTTGCTTCATTGAACTTGAACGCCATTGGCGGGCAACTCGAAGCCGCGAATAATTCAGGCGTATATAAGTTGCGAGAAGACGAAGGAATAAAATTGAAAAAGCATTGAGTATTGAGTTTAATTGCTGAACAACTAAAACTGGTTCAAGTTGCTTTTCTGGGAGAGAAAATTTCAATATTCTGAACAAAACTGTTGGATCGAGGGTCGTCAAAGATAATGCGAACTTGAAGTAGGGTTCATTGAGAGCAGCCACATTGCTAATCCGAATGAGAGACTAATACAACGGAGTGTCCATCGAAAAAAGGACTAGACACATCACACTAATTACTGACTAGTGTCCAATAAAAGTATGCACTACAGTCCGACACAAGGTCAATCAAGCCCGAATAGGTGCCTCAGTGGTAACGTGTCTGACTGCAGTATTCACTGGGTGACGCGGGTTCGAATCTCGGATGGGTGGACATGAGCTGTTCCTTCAATGTGGTTGCGCATACGCCTTGTTGACAAGGGTCAACTACCACGAAACCTAAGTCTACTCAAGGCTTCCTCTATCGGCGATTGCCTCCAGCCATTTTACATAAGATTCAGCCGTTTAGATAACACTAGTTTTGCCAGAAAGCAGTAGGGTTCGACGTCAGTGTTAACTAGATACTCATACCAATCAGTAGTTCAGATCATCACGCTACTCCGCTTTCTACATATCCTCTAAACCCATTTGATCATCTCTTCTTATCGTTGATGAAGTCGGAAACTACTTCTTCAGGTATTTCAGATCACCGAGTTCTCTCAGTGTATACATTGATGTGATGCAGCATTCCATCAGAACAACACATTTGAAAGACTACCACTCATCCCATTTATCCTCATCCATGTATCTGATGCGCTAGTAATTATTTGAAGGCCTGTATTATTATCAGATTGGTCAGTTTTATTCAATCGTCCCTTCCGAAATCTGGGATTTATGCTGAAATGTTACATGCAACCAAAATATGTCACAACGCAGGAAACTAATAAAAGAAACGCTTACCCTTCGCCGTTTCGCCTGCGGGACCTATTTGTGTAAAATGCAAAGAAAAGAGAAATAATAGGCAAAAATTTTAGGTGACTGATCGTAAACTCCAAGTGAACACAATTGAAAAATGTTATCCATAGTGGTTGAGGAAGTGATTGACAATCCTACAATCTATGAATGTCGTCAAAATGAGACGGTGTAATGTTCAGGGAAATTATCAATCATGCACCACTAAAATCCCAACTCCATGATCTATCCCATGACTGACATCTTCAACAAACGAGAGGAAGGTGAGTGTTCCCACATGCTGGAGATGACGTATCTTCATGGATAGACAATGTGAGTGAAAGAATTCTAATAAGTTTTGAGGAGTGACCATGTCCATAACAGAATGTTCGGCTGGCCTTCACTTGAGTCTGTTCAAAATACTCGCCTTGTCTGATACAACTCGGATTGTAGGGAGTCTACATCCAACACATCTGATCAACTGAATCATCACTGTGTGCACCAACAACCAATGAAATTCGATTGTAATAAATCGAATCATCTGTGGAAATCGGAGATGTTTTGGCATGTTTAAGAGTTTCCTGCCTACATATTGTGAAACTAAATACTGTCTATGCTCGATTTTCAAGTATTGGTTTTGTAGGGATTTTTTGTTTGATTAATGGAGGAGTGGTTCTCTAAGTGATGTCAGCTCATGATTAAATCCTATATGCTAGGTTTATCGAGAAACAGTCTTTATCTTCTCAGGAGTGTGATTAACGACACGTCTGAATCAGTGAATATTCACTGTCGCGCGCGTTGTCAACGTATAACAGCGATCGCCTACAAGTCTAACAGTTACAACCGTATTCACGTATCTATAAGCGTAGTACTTCACACAAAAGTGTACCAATTCAGTTTGATACACTACTGAAAACGCACAAAACAAGATGAAGGAAATACAATGAAACAAGAATAGACCGAGGTGCATGGAAGATAAGATAAGACAACTAGACAGAGATAACATGTGGAGGCCGATCAGGAGTTTTCGTGTGTTTGGTATCTGGATGATGACAATGGGTGAATGCGTGTGGGCTGTTGAGAACGATTTTCAGCTGCATAACCAACAGTCTCCAGCTATTGATTCTTATTGTTTGAAAGACCCCAGTCAGGCAGTCTACATCTCCCTGTCTCCGTCAATATCAACAATCAATGACTTGATGAATCGTTGGCGTGTTTCTCTCTGACCACGATTATCTTCTTCTCAGCTCAATCATATTTCAGCTGACATTCCTCGACGAAGAATGTGTTTCCTTGGCATGTGTAACACTCGCCTAATCCATCTGGACAGATACAGCTTGACAACCCGATCGATCTACGCTTCCTCCTGGCCCTCATGCCTGCCTAAATCTCAACGGCCGTGTCTCAAAGTCTCGGAAGACTGGGTATGCACCTGTGCAGGACACACATCCTTTGATCGATTGACGAATATGATGGCTTTGCCATAGATCACATGGATTGACAAATACCGAACACGCCACTTATATCCACAACGAGATTTCGTCGTCAATCAGTTTATTGTGACCAATTCGAATTCTCAAACTACTGAAATGGTCTGGATATTCAGCCATTTCATTCACTATCCTTAAACTAGGAGTCAGTACAGACGGGTTCGACACCATCATCTTCCGTTTGTTTGAGCGTGGCGAATCGCATGACAACTGCACTAATATTTCCGCTCAAGGTATTCAGAAGTCTCTGCGTATGACTAGCGTCATCAACTGGGAGAAATATATCATCTGAATACTCTAGATCGACGAGACTTCATGACGCTAACAAGACAGCCTGTGAGACGTCGAAGTTGACCAGAGTCACTTCCATCATTTCATCCATCTACAATGATACGGAATAAAATTGGAGACATTGATAATCCCTGACTGACACAACACAAGTCAGTGGTTGTCTTCACTTCAGTGACAATCCTCTCAATATAAGCTCTTTCCCGCCTGCATGAGTTTGAGTAGAGTGCGTTGACTAAGACTGTGTATACTGTTATCAGTGCATTCCCAGACAAATATTTCCACACCACGCATCGATCGATGGAGTCAAGTCAAGGGCGACTTACACGTAAAAACCGATGGCATTTGCTGAAACCAGTAAAAATGCCTATCTTCACAAACCTGTCGAAACCTGATCATATGAACAACCAACTCTCCTCAGTAACTAAATTCTACCTGATTTGACATGGTTTCCATGTTCACATCACCGCGTAATCTTCATACCACTATAAGATCGAAACTTTTCGATACCACATAAAACAAGTGGATGTCATATCAATCAGCTATGGCGGAGAGAATTTGTCAGGTTTTCTTATGAAATCAGGTTACCAATGATGGGGAGAGAATTCCGTTGAAACTAGGTGGTAAATAGATTGGATGGACAGAACAGAGCAAACACAGTCAGTAAGTCATCTTCGTGAGGAATAACACCTGTAGAGAGTGGTCAGACAGACCTCATGATCAAAAAATGTCTCTATCTATGTCAAACTGTCAACAAACTTCCACTGAAAGCTGAGGTGAATAGAAGAGTGTACCACACTACGTGTGAATTCCTCGACAGTAAACTGACATCCACTTTCAACACAGAAGGGAATTAGTTAACAGAAAATTACGCAGCTCGAGGTCAAAGATCATCACAGTAACCTTAGGAAAACAAATATATTCAGACAAGAATAAGTCCAGTGCTTGATGAGATGAGTAGAAATCAAGAAAACAAGCCATCCAGCTAGCTAGCAAACACTTATACTTGACGTGAGTGGATTCCAATTACTCACGTCAGCTAGTAATACATATGCCACCAGGCAACATATTACGTGATACAATAAACAGTAAATCGTAAAACATACAGAATGTTCAGAAAGGAGCAAGAAAGAAATACAACCGTCACACTAGAGATGAAAAAAAATTGCAGTGTCAGAATTACACACTTGCACTAAAGAGTGCACCTGTTCCCAATGATTAAGTAAAATTGATTTCACAAGCTTTCCTGATTGTCATCTACAGAATCAAGCACACCACATACTGAGTGAGATGTGAACACTTTCAGTTTTTCCGAAAAGAGCTGTGGTGTTTTTTCACCTCGAAATGAGTAATTTGCAAACGACCAATCTGAATCTACGTATTCCCAATTCGTCGAAGTATCTGGACAGAAGTCAGATCGTTTGAACTAATTCATCTCCGTGAGCTGAGTCGAACTTCCTACGCTACTGAGGAGCTAGGCCGTGAACGAGCGAAACCATCTTCCGATTACTTCGATTGAACACTGGTAACTAGTGTGATGTGTCTAGTCCAACCATCTAGTGCCATCCGATAAATGTACACCGTGACGGCGAGCTACCTAGTGGCATGGTGGCCACATTGCAAATCTGATTGACTGACTGATAGAATGGAGTGTGCACCGAAGAAAGGACTAGACACATCACACTAGTTACTGACTAGTGTCCAATAAAAGTATGCACTACAGTCCGACACAAGGTCAATCAAGCCCGAATAGGTGCCTCAGTGGTAACGTGTCTGACTGCAGTATTCACTGGGTGACGCGGGTTCGAATCTCGGATGGGTGGACATGAGCTGTTCCTTCAATGTGGTTGCGCATACGCCTTGTTGACAAGGGTCAACTACCACGAAACCTAAGTCTACTCAAGGCTTCCTCTATCGGCGATTGCCTCCAGCCATTTTACATAAGATTCAGCCGTTTAGATAACACTAGTTTTGCCAGAAAGCAGTAGGGTTCGACGTCAGTGTTAACTAGATACTCATACCAATCAGTAGTTCAGATCATCACGCTACTCCGCTTTCTACATATCCTCTAAACCCATTTGATCATCTCTTCTTATCGTTGATGAAGTCGGAAACTACTTCTTCAGGTATTTCAGATCACCGAGTTCTCTCAGTGTATACATTGATGTGATGCAGCATTCCATCAGAACAACACATTTGAAAGACTACCACTCATCCCATTTATCCTCATCCATGTATCTGATGCGCTAGTAATTATTTGAAGGCCTGTATTATTATCAGATTGGTCAGTTTTATTCAATCGTTGCCCTCAAATTCTGGCTACTAAACTGATTGATATCTTACATGTAACCAAAATATATTAAACAAAGGAATTAAATCGAATAAAAGAAACTTACCTCCGGAGTTTCTACTGTGGCCGCTGTGAGGGTGAAGATATTTGAAAACAGTCATCAATAGTGGTTGAGGAAGTGATTGACAATCCTACAATCTATGAATGTCGTCAAAATGAGACGGTGTAATGTTCAGTGAAATTATCAATCATGCACCACTAGAATCCAACTCCATGATCTATCCCATGACTGACATCTTCAACAAACGAGAGGAAGGTGAGTGTTCCCACATGCTGGAGATGACGTATCTTCATGGATAGACAATGTGAGTGAAAGAATTCTAATAAGTTTTGAGGAGTGACCATGTCCATAACAGAATGTTCGGCTGGCCTTCACTTGAGTCTGTTCAAAATACTCGCCTTGTCTGATACAACTCGGATTGTAGGGAGTCTACATCCAACACATCTGATCAACTGAATCATCACTGTGTGCACCAACAACCAATGAAATTCGATTGTAATAAATCGAATCATCTGTGGAAATTGGAGATGTTTTGGCATGTTTAAGAGTTTCCTGCCTACGTATTATGAAACTAAATACTGTCTATGCTCGATTTATCCAGATACACGGTTTTTCGAGTTGACAAATCGCAAACTGATTCGCTGATATGTAACACTTTAGCGGTCTGTTCTAGTTGATCCTGATTGTACATAGTGCACATTGGTGTTTATTGTGAAACATCGGATTTACTTATACTAGTATGGCAAAGAAAATAATGCTTTCGCGCAGTAATCTCCTATATCCTCTCTGTCCGCTGATCCAAGTGATAATACAGTACACTGTGCAAATCAGCTTTCATTTTCTTCTTCAACTGTGATTTCCTTCTTGGTCACACACAGATGTCCGATTGAAATTACTTTTTTGCTCGCTTTGACGAAATGTCAGAAAGTCTTTCACGAGGTCAATTACTAAGATTCACTCATTGATCGTGATAAAAACGTGACAAAACACGGAATCTTCCAACTTAGAGAGTCGACACTGTCTCACATCTTGTGGTCACAATTCGCAATTGCAGTTTGTGTATTACAACCAACAATTAAAATTCATCTAGTTAGGTTCTATACCAGATGGTTTCTAATTAAACCTACCACCAAGCGATCGATGCACAAGAAAATAAATCTCCAACACTAAAAATAACAAAACTCGATACTACGAGATAAACAGATAACTAAGTAAACTTGTGCAAGTCGTCAACTATCCGAATGGAGTAGATTTTCATCTCAAAATCCTGTACTCTCTATCTTCTCAGGAGTATGATTAACGACACGTCTGAATCAGTGAATATTCACTGTCGCGCGCGTTGTCAACGTATAACAGCGATCGCCTACAAGTCTAACAGTTACAACCGTATTCACGTATCTATAAGCGTAGTACTTCACACAAAAGTGTACCAATTCAGTTTGATACACTACTGAAAACGCACAAAACAAGATGAAGGAAATACAATGAAACAAGAATAGACCGAGGTGCATGGAAGATAAGATAAGACAACTAGACAGAGATAACATGTGGAGGCCGATCAGGAGTTTTCGTGTGTTTGGTATCTGGATGATGACAATGGGTGAATGCGTGTGGGCTGTTGAGAACGATTTTCAGCTGCATAACCAACAGTCTCCAGCTATTGATTCTTATTGTTTGAAAGACCCCAGTCAGGCAGTCTACATCTCCCTGTCTCCGTCAATATCAAAAATCAATGACTTAACGCTTGGGTGACGTGTTGCAGCCTTTCAGAAGAACAACACATCTTGAAAGTCTATTACTCGTTCCTTTTTATCCTCATCCATATATCTGATGCTCCACTAATTATTCGAAGGCCTCCATTATTATCATATTGGTCAGTTTTATTCAATCGTTGCCCTCAAATTCTGTCTACTATACATAAATCTTTCTTGTAATCAAATTATTTCACTGGAGTTAAATCAAATATCTACCCACTTACGTGTCACTGCATCGTCTGCTCCCGCTGCGAATGTAAGAAAAAACAATCATAAATTCATGAACGCATTAATTATTTGGCCACTCCAAGTTTAGATAATAGAAAACAGTCATCAATAGTGGTTGAGGAAGTGATTGACAATCCTACAATCTATGAATGTCGTCAAAATGAGACGGTGTAATGTTCAGGGAAATTATCAATCATGCACCACTAAAATCCCAACTCCATGATCTATCCCATGACTGACATCTTCAACAAACGAGAGGAAGGTGAGTGTTCCCACATGCTGGAGATGACGTATCTTCATGGATAGACAATGTGAGTGAAAGAATTCTAATAAGTTTTGAGGAGTGACCATGTCCATAACAGAATGTTCGGCTGGCCTTCACTTGAGTCTGTTCAAAATACTCGCCTTGTCTGATACAACTCGGATTGTAGGGAGTCTACATCCAACACATCTGATCAACTGAATCATCACTGTGTGCACCAACAACCAATGAAATTCGATTGTAATAAATCGAATCATCTGTGGAAATCGGAGATGTTTTGGCATGTTTAAGAGTTTCCTGCCTACATATTGTGAAACTAAATACTGTCTATGCTCGATTTATCGAGCAATTGAGATATCTCAGGTTGCCTTTCTTGTCTCGTATGTGGTTTCGCTGTTTTGGTGGGATTTGTTTTTCTTTTTTCTGCTTTTCTTGCCTTCATCATATTTCTTCATTTTTAAGCTTTTAGATTTTTTTTCTTTTTTTTCTCAATTTTTAGCTGGCATTCTTATTTGTAGCGTTTTTCGTTCATATCTGAATTACTGATTCTTTAAGTGTGCTTTTAAATTTATGTGATTGTTATTTTGATTTGGTCGAATTCTTTTGATTACTATTCATGAATGAACCCTACTCTTTAACGATTTATCAGATTAGGCATATATCTATCTGGTAGTTAAGTCTCCTGTTTCTTCATCGTATCTGTGAAAATCGTGTAGCTTACCTTGACCATGCCATAGTGATATAAATATCATCAGATAAATGCAATTCTTAAGCATTCCAATAGAAGTTGAACAATTTTCTGAAATGAAATTTTAAGCGTTTAAGTGAACTTCAGCTTACAAGGAACATTTTTCACAAAAGTAAATTAAACTTGTGTGCAAGTATGTGTGCATCATTAAGCCGAAGCCATTTTTGTAAAAATGATTATTTTGGTTACAGGATTTCATCATGAGCTGACATTGGTTAGAGAACCATTGGAAAACCTGCAGGGAGTACTGCCAGACAGCTGTTTCCCCCGTCCGAGTTTGGGAATCTTTATCAGTACGCACCCACCGCCAGGGTTCGAACAACATAGAACCTTCTGGTTAAAAGGCTAACGAGCTTGTAGTCCATTAAGCTACTGGGACCCGCCAATCCAATGGTCAGTCAGTGCATGAATTCTAACTTCTGCCAATTCACGATATATCGCAACCGCTAACCAATGTCTTCTGTGACCAGTATTTGTCCTCACACCCTACCTGCTGCACCCTACTGGTCACTTCGCCTCAGAACACCAGCTCATGATGGAATCCTATAAGCTATCAACCAAATTACTACAAATTGATACTTGAATAACAACAATAAGATTTAGTTTAAGTGAAATGTCTTAAATATTTGAGCATCACATTTTAGACATTCTTTATTTTTTATTTTTATTTTTGATTTGCAGCTTGATTCCACACTGTATTTTTTGGTACAAGTGTGGAATTTTCAGCATGGATATCGATAGCCCAAATTTTGCAGGCCGACCATAGATATCAGGTGTGCGCTGGCGTGGGCTCGAACCCCAGACCATGTGTATGGTCGGCGAGAGTCCTAACCACTGTGCCCTAATTCAATAAACAGTTCAGAAAAACTATATGTTAATTTTTTTTTTATCAGAAATTCATAAAGGCATCTAAATGCATATAACTTCTTACCTTATTGCTGTTTATTCAGACAAAGAGATGAAACTTAATTGGACATTCAAATGGCCACAACAGATGGAGTCGTAAAACTACGTCTAGATACAAGATTTCATTTGATCCATTTTAGTAATTCCATATTAGTTTGTTTATTAGATGTATCACACACAGTCAGTGAGTGAAACAGCATTAGTATTACTTACTGGATGACAAAGTTTCGAACACAATTCATTATTGCTGTTCATAATCATTTCACCATCAATTATAATCACACGACTTCGAAACTTGAGTTTTACAGTTTTCTTTGTCCTCTACTATTTGTCGTCGTCATTGGGGTAATAGAAGTTTCCCTACACCCTGTAACATTAGATTTTAAAGCTGTCATCCTGTCCCATTCAGCCTATTGTATACTTGTGTGTAATTGCATGTAGTGCCATAGATGAACTAGTCTGACTGCCTCTGTTTTACTACTTTGACCTGACAATCATTGCAAACGGGGGATTAGATAAACTAACTTGTTTTGTTTAATGTGGTGTTCCACAGGATTGATCCTCTAACTGACGAAGCTTGTTTCTAATTGAGTTTGGAACGAACCTCAGAAGCCCTACACAGAATTCTTAACAAAGTAGAAATGAAAGTGGCCTGCATTCAAACCAACCACAAACTCGATTACAAACAAGCTTCGTCAGTTAGAGGATCAATCCTGTGGAACACCACATTAAACAAAACAAATTAGTTTATCTAATCCCCCGTTTGCAATGATTGTCAGGTCAAAGTAGTAAAACAGAGGCAGTCAGACTAGTTCATCTATGGCACTACATGCAATTACACACAAGTATACAATAGGCTGAATGGGACAGGATGACAGCTTTAAAATCTAATGTTACAGGGTGTAGGGAAACTTCTATTACCCCAATGACGACGACAAATAGTAGAGGACAAAGAAAACTGTAAAACTCAAGTTTCGAAGTCGTGTGATTATAATTGATGGTGAAATGATTATGAACAGCAATAATGAATTGTGTTCGAAACTTTGTCATCCAGTAAGTAATACTAATGCTGTTTCACTCACTGACTGTGTGTGATACATCTAATAAACAAACTAATATGGAATTACTAAAATGGATCAAATGAAATCTTTTATCCAGAGGTCGATGAGTCCTCCATTCAGAACATATTCCTAAGTGGCTTCAGAAACAAATAAAATCTTCAAAACCCATTAATGGTTAGAACAGGATACCTAGCTCCTCTATTGCAAAACCTACTATAGAGAGAGGACATAAAATTGACGTTAACAGATCTGTTAAACCTATCTATAAAAGGTGTTTGGGTGAGGGCGTGTCCTAAAGTTTGTGGAAGCCCTAGCTTGCAATTAGTTTAAATCATATTTATGCGATCAAAGCAACAATTCGTCATCACACTAACTAAACCTACCTTCCTTGTTAGTGGTAAACTTTGTATATGATACCAACCAGGGCGGATTTACTATTACCTCTGTTATTTGGTTCAGACATTCATATTCTTTGTTATTTTGACCATCAATATCTCTTCCTTTTAACTTGACCTAAGTAGTCTATTTTCTCACCCACCTCTTAACTCTTTATTAATTTATATACTCCTATGATAAGTCCGTGTGTGATGAATCAGATTGTTCGAAATGTGCTATGCGCAAATACAACATTACACACGATTCAGACATACTACGTTTACTTATGGTTTTGTTAGTTAAAATTATCTATTGAATTCATATAAAATCTACAGACTTTAACAGCATAATAGAAAGTGTGAATTGACAAGTGATTAACATGCTAATGTATTTATAATCAAACAAACCACTGAATTAAAAATAGACACAATCAAGAAATGATCACTGCATCAACCAAAATGTTTAGAGATAGACTAGACTTGATATAAGTATAAAACTTGGTCACTGTGTTGCGGTAGAGTATAACTACACCATTATGGATAAGATTTTATTTTGATAAACTGTCACACACACACACACACAGTGCAGTGTAGTGTTTCTTATACAGTAAGTAATATTAACTGATCCGACCACACGCCATTTTGAGCACAATTTATTATTATTCCCACTCATAATCATCACATCGAGTCACTCACTCACTCACTCAAACAACTTTCTTGTTTCCTTCATTTATATACACATGAGTGGAATTGATGATTAGACATTTGAATACAAATCAGTAATATGGGATAATGTACATTCAGAAATAATAATCATAATAATATGAGTGTTATGAGTGATCAATTACAATAATCAGATGGGAAATAAGACGAGTGTTTGTTTTATAGTCAAAATACGTGAGTAACTTGTTAGAGTGTTGTGATGATGTACGTGAATTGAATTGAAATAGATTACAATTTATTATCCTCCTCTGATTTCACTGACTGACTGACTGGTGGTAATAATATCTTCCACGCATATCTCTGGTATTTGCATTGAGTCATTTCTGTTGCATGTGTTGTGTTGGGTGTGTAAACTCGATGAACCAGTCAGGATTCAGTAATCAATTTCTCTCACTCCTCACCTACCTAGATTACTTTTTCGAATTGTGACCCTCTCCCACCATCCTATTGTGTGGTTGTGTGTTAATGCATGCATGCAGTGGAATGTAGTGGTGAGTTGGTATTTCTAAATTACTCATCTTCTTGGGTGGGGTCAACCATTCTTATTGATATAAGAATAAAACTTGTGCACTGTGGTAGAGTGTAATTCCTTTATGGGTAAATTTTGTTTGATAAAGTCTCACAGCGTTATACAGTAATGTTTACTGATGACGTTTCGAGCACAATTTATTGCTCATAATCATATCAAGGTAATCACACGACTTCCTAAATTCATTTATATAGTTCCATTGTTTTTCTCTTGATTTTCACTTGATTTGATTGGTAATAGTATTTTCCATATTTCAGGTATGAGTGACGAGTCATTCCTATTGCATGTGTTGGGTGTAGACTCGATGAACAAGGATTCAGTAATCAACCTCTCTCTCCATCTACCTAGATTACTTTTTAGAATTTTAACCCTCTCCCATCGAGTCTACACCCAACACATGCAATAGGAATGACTCGTCACTCATACCTGAAATATGGAAAATACTATTACCAATCAAATCAAGTGAAAATCAAGAGAAAAACAATGGAACTATATAAATGAATTTAGGAAGTCGTGTGATTACCTTGATATGATTATGAGCAATAAATTGTGCTCGAAACGTCATCAGTAAACATTACTGTATAACGCTGTGAGACTTTATCAAACAAAATTTACCCATAATGGAATCAACCATTCTTACCCTAGCTAAATTCTTATCTTCCGACAATCTGCTTACCCCCGATCTACTAGTCTGTTTTACCTATGTAGGCAGTTGACCTCACTCACAGTGATTGCAGGGTATTTTGTAAATTATATTATTTTGTCTAATTGGGTCCACCGACAGGGTCTTTTAGCCTACAGAGCTTGTCCTACCTGAGTGAGTTCGTAGGTTTGAATGACACCAACTTTATTCCTGCTTTATTAAGAATCATACGTAAGGAGTGTCTCAGATGTTCCCTCCTTATATGGTATAATAGTGGGTGACTTATATTCGCTCTTATTTATGTTTTCATTTTTAGTTCGACAATTATTTTTATTTTGCTTTTGGCGTTTTTCGATCTTCCTAATGAATTTGATAGGATAGTTAGTTATCTAATACTAACGCCTCTTTTATCTGTTTTATTTCATCATTTAGGTATTCTTTTTGTGCTACTTAGTGCTACAACTCGGTTTGTTAGACACTTAACTAAGCCTGCCTTAACAGTTAACTGGACTTATTCACTCTAGGGCCTGAAAATAGTTTTGGAAAATACTTTTAAATACTTTAGGAGTTAGAAAATTTTCCAGTCAAATGTTGTTTTCAAGTATTTGGTATTTGTAGGGATTCTGTGTGATTTTATAGAGGATTTCATCATGAGCTGACACCAGTTAGAGAACCACTGGAAAACCCACTGGGTGTACTGCACAGCGGCTCAGTGGTCTACGAGGTCTCCAGCCTTGTAACCAAAAAGTCCTGGGTTCGAACCCCTGGCGTACTGATGAAGAGTCCGTCCCAAACTAGGACGGTGGATGGAAACA